CAGCATTTCTAATCTGGACTGGTTTTGGATTAAATGGCCTGTTAGATGAGGTCTAAATTGTCACACTGATTTCACTGAATCTACTCTAAATAAGATTGAGTCTGGTTTCAAACGAATGGCTCCATAATTCTGACTAGTGGTAATATTGAGCTTATTTTGGTGCAAGTTCAAAGCTTGGTTGTTCATCCTAATGTTTAGAGATTTCCAAGTTTTGGACTACAGGTTTTGATTATGCCGAACTGTTTTAACTATTTCATATTCATTCTAAAAGTTATTTTTGTTGGCTGTAACTTTTTTTGAAATTTTGGGATACAGACAGTATAGAAATCATTACATATATAACTAAATAAGCAAATAAAATATACGATGAATTTCTCCAGATACATTTATATTTCTGTCAGAAGTTTTCTCTGTTACTTAAGTGTTTAGATAAACATTTCCATACATTTACAGTGTGATACTTTAAAAAATCCCAGCAGTAAAGTAGTTGTAAATCTTTGGGTTGTTCTATTACAAACATTATCCATGCAGCTGTGACAATAAACTGCAAGTTTAGAGTTAGGAAATCACAGGTTGCTTAACACTAAAAACCCCATGACAATTTGACTTGTGCATTAATCTATTGCCTCACCACCAAATTTCTGGTGAAAGGAATATGAATTTCTTAAGAAAGCAAAGAATGTTGAGACATAATAGAGCTTTTAACATTTCCTATGAAGAAATAACTTTTCACCCAGATATGCTCTTAAGGGTTTGCCACAAATCTTCTCACTCAAATTTTATGGTCAAATGGTGGAAATCAAGGGATCTGGACTGAAAAGCAGAAACAAACCAACACAGGAAGCATTTAAGCCATTCACTGAAAAAAGGCCAATTTAAAGTGTCCTGCCTATCTAGATTCTGTCCATAAAATTACTCCATCTTTTCCTGACAACAAAACTGCCCAATTAGAGAGAGGAAGAAAAGACATCAATTAGGTGGGTTTCAAAGACTTGGATAAAAAAGGAGCAAATGCATGAATGGAAAGAAATATGCCCAAGGGAACAGTACATCTATAATATGTCATAAAGTGTTATAAGTATGTCAACTTTAAACACAGTGGTCTAACAAATATATCATAATACACCACACAGTGTCCCTGAAAAAGCAATATTAAAATATTGATATGCAAATTGCATTTGCCACTCTGAATAGCAAAGTTAAAAGAAGAAAAAACCATGAACCCTTTCAAACAACTAATTCCATGATCTCTGCAACCAAGAGCTCAGAACTTCTGGGTTCAGAATTTAAACCTTCCAACCAAGGGCCCTTCCAGACAGGCCCTATATCCCAGGATCTGGTCCCAGGTTTTATACTTTAAACTGGATTATATGACCTGTGGGTCTCCAGGTGTTTTGGCCTACAACTCTTAGAAATCTCAGCCAGTTTACCAGCTGTTAGGATTTCTGGGAGTTGAAGGCCAAAACTTCTGGGGACCCACAGGATGAGAACCAATGATCTAAAGGCATCTGTTATACAACAAAATGGAGTTGCAGCATTGGCCCTGGATAACATGGATGGAATTTTAGGTACCTGGAGCCACTACTTGCTGTATGTGGCTACTGGGGCCCTTTAACTAAAGGGCTGTGGCACTTTCCTCTCTTGTAAACCATCTGCTTTATCAATTTCTCACCAATAAAGCTTCTTTCCTAGTAGTGGTCCATGTCAGCTTTTGTATATCAAACAAAGGGCCCTTCCGTTCAGCCCTATATCCCAGAATATCAAGGTAGAAAATCCTACTTTATTTGAGTATGGACTCAGATAACCCAATTCAAAGCAGAGATTGGGGTATTTTCTGCCTTGATATTCTGAGATATAAGGCTGTGTGGACTGTTCCAAAGTCTTGAAAAGGCTTGGATGTGGAACAAGTGCCAACTCAAAACAAGAGGTGGAAAGAATAATTCACAGTTTAAAATAAATGGGGGTTCCCAACTATTGGGAAACGCTTCCAGGATGGATGATATTTCAGTAAGAGTAACTGAAGGCCCTTCCACACAGCCCCATATCCCAGACTATCAAGGCAGAAAATCCACAATATCTGCCTTGAACTGGGTTATCTGAGTCCACACTCAAATAATGTGGAATTTTCTGCCTTGATAGTCTGCGATATAGGGCTGTGTAGAAGGGCCCTAAGAGAAAGAAGTTGCTAACATAAATGTAGTAGACTGAGTCTACTTCAGCAGATTAAGGTTGCATCCAATGACGTCAACTTTTAATAAATGAAAGTGTATGCTACCAACTTCTTTCTCAGTTGGTTTCAAATATGCTACAATATTCCTTTGCATACAGATCTGGACTAACACAAATATGTATTTGATATCTACTATAACACTTGAATTTTCTTCCATTATTCAACTATCCCTGCATGTTGTGGATTAATTATTCTGAATAGATTTTTTTTGTTTCTTTTGCAGGAAACTTTTTTCTTTTTTGAAAAATGCACATTTTTGCAAAATTAATGGTCCATAACACTTTGGGACATTCATATATATGGAGAATACTGTGGATGTATGTTTATTTTCTCCTTCAGCAGTAAGAAAAGTACCACAATTATTACTCCATTATGTGAGGATGAAATATTTGAAGATTTACCACCACCACTGCCATTAATACTCTCCTTCCCAGTTCTGCCCCAATTACTTTTCAAGCATATTTATCATTGTGAATAGATAGATGAACTTGCATAGGACTGGTTTTGCTAGAGAAGGTGTCAGCCTCTACTTTACTGGCCTACAATAACATAAGACTTTTCAATGCCACCTAACTGAATTAAATAGGGCAAAAAACACAGGAGACTAAAAGTTCTAGCAACCTCAGAAGAAATGAATGGATCTGCAATGGCTGTTTGGAGGCATTCGGGAAAATAAAGATGTTTCTCTTGTTTCCACTAAACCCTTCTTAATGCTATTTGCTCTGTAACACAAGAGTATGTTTTCTTTGTGATATGGGTGAGCTGGAGTAAACTAGGTTGACCTTCCCCATGTTTGCTTGCTTTCCATTACCTGGATCACTTGCTCCTTAATAGCAGAAATACTCTGTTAATTTATCCATCTATTCTCTATAAATAGCAATCTTTGGTCCATCAGTCCCTATTGTACAGAACTATAAGCCACCTCTAAAATATATAAAGTGACTATAGCATTGTTCAGGGAAATGGTGTCTTCTGATAAGGTGATTCTGCCCTGGAGTTTTGATTGAATTTTGAAGGAGCCATACTAGATATTCACCCAATTCTGGGGATAGGATCCAGCACCTTGGATAACTTCTTTCGGCTTTGGCTTTAGGCTTTGGACTAAGCCCAGAGCAAATTTACCCTGCACAGTCTGGAGAACCTATGATCCAGTAGATGGCCCCATCTCCCATAAGAACCAGTCAGAATGACCAACAGTAAGACATAGATCTCATCATAAATACAGTATTGGTGCTGACTGTTTTCCATATCTTTGTGTCATGTAAGCACTCATCCTTGTATATACACAAAGATCATAATATAATAATAATATTTTTTAAGTTATTTGCCATTTTTGTTACAAAACTCCTAATTAAAGACAGGGCTTCATGTTCCTTTTAGAAGAGATTTCAACTGGAACTTTGATCTTCCTCTAGCGTAGGAGTGGTTGGTTAGCTTATGTCCTCCAGACATGTTCTAAAAATACATATCCCAAAAGTATCATATGTTGGTTTCTTCAGATTCTTCCAAGAATAATTTACAAATACTTGACTTGAGGATTAACTATGGTATATCCAGAGTTGTCCAATTATGTTTATAAGCTTTGCTTACAACAGTGGTTCCCAACCATTGATCCTCCGGATATTTTGGACTTTAGCTCCCATAGTTCCTAACAGCTGGTAAACTGGTTGGGATTTCTGGGAATTGAAGTCCAAAACAACTGGAGGACCAATGGCTGGGAACCATTGGTTTAGAGCATGGCCTACTGTTTTTCTTCTTCTTCTTCCAAGGAAGCCATTGTAGCTACAAGCCAAAGATGGTTTATAGCAGTGGTTCCCAACCTTTGGTCCTCCTGCTATTTTGGACTTCAACTCCCAGAAATCTCAGCCATCTTATCAGCTGTTAGGAATTGTGGGAGCTGAAGTCCAAAACACCCGGAGGATGAAAGGTTGGGAACCACTGGTTTAAAGGGACCTGGGTCATTCGAGTTCAAATCCCTACTCACTGGCATTGGAAGAATCATTGCCTTTTACTCCAATATGTAGATATCTGCCAGTGGAGCCCACATCCCATGAAAAGCATTATTCAGATTGACTCAGCTACTCAAAACAATTTACATTACACAGTTTTTCTTTAAGAAAATGGATACCCCATGCCTTCCAGTTTCCATTCAACTCCTGAATTCTACATGATTTTTCTCCCTACTTACAGTACACAGCAAAAATGGCATACTTGTTACACTTTTAAATCCATTACAGTATCCAAGGGATGCATAATCTCTGGCAACATAGCAGAACGAACTAAATACAATTTGTAAAAACAAACCAATGGCATTCCTTTTCCGCAAACATCATGAATGTTCTGAATCACTTTGATAGTTACAGGAATTTAAGTGTGGTCTCAATTAGTAACACAGAAGTTAATGCTTATTTATCCCCTGCTCTTCCTGCAGCAACAATCCAACTGCTCAACATCCCTGAACAGTTGACAAGGAAGTTTCAGAGGAAATAACTGTTAATGAACCCATGTTTTCAACAAAGCAGGCAGCAGATTACAAGATTGCATCTAACCTAGTCTTGCAGGGTGCCTGACATGCAGTAAGCACTTGCTTTAATATCTTTACCACAAACATATGATCAAGTCTGGATTTGCCTCTCCAAGGAATTCATTTTACACATGTAGCTTTTGCACTCATCAGCTGTTTCATCTCCCCATCCCCCTCAAGGCAATGCCTGGACGTTTTTGTCCACTAGATGGTACTATGGTTCCCTTAACAGACCACCTCACTTACTTGCATTCTCTGTCCTCCAAATCGAAGTGAGGGTTGAAGTTGATCATAATTCTCTGGTATGGCTGCGGAGCTTGAATCAGCCATTCACATTTTTGGCTTGGATGATAAGTGTTCGGATAGCCAGGAGAAGTGAGATAGCCAGGCTCGATGATTTTTATATTTTCACCACATTTATCTGCAATGATAGGAAGAGAAAATCTATTCAGTTTGCAAAGTTTGAACAATAAAACCTCTACATCAGTCATTTCCTTCAGTATTTCAACTTTGGTCATATTTGGGGTTTCAGTACTATGTTTACCATTACTTATTTTTGCAGATGCTCTTTTCTTTATAATTTACATCCTATTTTTTTCTTTTACAGAATATAAGTTTCAGTCATGAGTTTCGTGAGTAATGAGCTTTTCTCTCCCCCCCCCCTTTGCACTTTTAAAGGATAGTTTTACATAATTTCTTTGTTGAAACAAATATTTTAAATAATTCTTTTTCATGTCAGGAGAGACTTGAGAAACTGCAAGTCACTTCTTGGGTGAGAGAACTGGCCATCTGTAAGGACGTGCCCAGAGGACACCTGGATGTTTTGATGTTTTACCATCCTTGTGGCCAGCTTCTCTCATGTCCTTGCACGGGGAGCTGGAGCTGACAGAGGGAGCTCATCCTCACTCTCCTTGGATTCAAACCTCCGATCTGTCAGTCTTTAGTCCTGCCGGCACAAGGGTTTAACCCATTGTGCCAGCAGGGGTTCCATATCCGTACAGATGATATTTATTATGACTGATATATTTCTGCAAAATACTTGATTACAGAAGACAACAATATTATGTAAGATGTTTTAAATGTAGGGTGAACGTAACAGCAGTGCTGAGCAATCCTATCCTCAGCTTTTCAATGCTGAGTCTGCTCTATATCATTAGATAGCAGAGCTTGTCTTCCGAGTCTTGTTTACAGCAGGCTTTGCTTTCTTTTTTTCCCTTATCAAATCCCAGATCTAAGCAATTTGAAGTTATCTGTGCTCTTCAGGTCCAGACTAGCAAAGAACAAAGTTTATTTATTGAAGCAGTACTGATTCCGTTGACTCCTCTAAGGAAGTCCCCCTCCCCTGCCAAACATACACACTTCTTGAAAACCAGATAAGAGGAGTGGAACAGAAAGGAAAGCGCCCCAATTAAAAACAATCATATCTAATGGCAAAACTTTGGTGCAAGTTTCCACTTCTCCGATTGCAAGTTGTCATATCTTGAGAGAGAGAGAGAGAAACTCTTCAGGAGTCATTTTAGGGTCAAATAATTAATGACATAAGAAAAAGAACTAGCACCAACCCCTAGAATCGGACATGACCAGACTTAATGTCAGAGGGAAAATCTTTACCTTTACCTAATTCACTCTCCCAGGTCAGCTGTTCTATTGTTTTGTGAAGGTTTCCTTTGCCACTTTTAATTATTAGGTACTTCCTTCTTCATATATAGCTCCTGCCAGCAAAACTTTCCTCCAATATTTTCTGCTGATAGCAGACGGATATGTGAGGGCAGTGTGTAATAAATGACACAGTGGCGTGCATCACATTTTCTCAGTAATGGCATATCTAAATTGGTCTTCTGTACCTAATAGAATTCTTATGAAATGAAAATGACACTATTTGTTCTCGATGTGAAGTTAGAGATGGGGAGAATTTTTATTATGGGAAAACCAGGTCAAATGGAAATGAAAGATAAAGTGCACATCAAAAATGTATAAACTACAGCCATTACAGGAAACATTTGCCATAAATTACAAGGGAGTGAGATAGTGTATTTTTGGGCAATGAATTATTATATGAGAGTTTGCTGTAAACTACCATTCATCTGTGCTTTGACATTTTGCATGGCGTGCCTCTTTTGCCAAGAACAAAAGATGTTGCCAGGAAGAGTTCACCAATCTGTGGCCAGCGAGAGTCGCCCATAAGCCTCTTGCATGGGCTTTCAGGAACAAGCCTTGCATGATTTGCTGTGTGCAGCAGACTTGGAAAACCCATCCTGCCTCATTAAGTCCACTCTACTTCTATGCAAACAACATGGAAGAATCTGGCATCTGTTAAATGAGTGAAATAAACCAGTGCTGTTGCGAGTCACTTGACAGAGTCACTCCAGGAAGCATTTAGGTGGGCTCACGACCAAGAGCACTTTAAAAAGGTAACTCCTGGGAAAGTGATAGCATAACAAGATAATATGGGGGACTGCTAGACTCCCTGACTCTGTGTAATCTCTCTCACACCTGATTAAGCAGAGCAGTTCTTAACTACTTGGGACCATTTAGTTTAAAAGAAGGTTAATGAATGTGTTTAGCTGAGACTACAACTGGATAGATGACAACATGGCATCACTGGGTCTACGAAGTAGCAGCAAGAGTGTATTAGTGTTGGTGACTCTATTACATCATGCTTATAATTGCTCAGACTAAACAACAGCTCTTCTTATCACTGGCTCAGCATTTCAGAGAATGATATTATATTAGCACACACAGCTCTTGGCACACCTTATCCACTTCATGAGTTTGGTTCATCCTTCCTTATTTACTCATCTCCATTAATTCACACTGCCCGCAAATCAAAGAAAACATGCATCGTGGTCCTGTTATCTTTGCAAAGAAAGACTTCAGGTTGAAAGATGAGGTCTAGTTAGTTACACGGTTCAAAAGGATTAGGCCAAATTTTGTCTCCAGCACAATTCTCAAGGATTTATGTGCAATTACTTTGTCAAAAGCCTCTTCCCATTCACGATAACACGATAAAGAACTTAATTTCTTGCTAAATTAGCCACCTTCCTCAAATTATATTGGAAAAAGATTAATTCCTATCATAAAGTGTGGTTTAAATCCCTTCCTCTCAAAGACACTCCACTTGTGGTCTCTTATTAAAACAATATACCATGTTAAGTGGAGGGTGCACCCTTCTTTTAATTACTTTGATTAAAAACCAAGTCAGAGCAAAAGTAAATATTTGGTAATTAGTTAATAGTAATGGCTCAGGATTTGCTCTAGGAAGAAAAATCCACAAAAAACTTGTTGTTCACACTTGTGCAAGTTAAAGGTCAACCATTCTTAGTACGAGAATGTCTTTAAAAGCTGCGAAATGTAGAGATATATTCTGGGTGTGAGAGCAATGTTGAATGAGAGAAGCCCTCATTGTTCAGAAACCACTGCCAAGCACTGCCTCAAACCCAGATACAAAGCCTGAGCAACAGGACTTCAGTCTTAGATTTGGTCCTTACAAACAGCAGCTCATAGGGTTGCTGTGAGTTTTCCGGGCTCTATAGCTATGTTCCAGAAGCATTCTCTCCTGACATTTCACCCACATCTATGGCAGGCATCTTCAGAAGTTGTGAGGTGTGTTGGAAACAAGGCAAGTGGGGTTTATATATCTGTGGAATGTCCAGAGTGGGAGAAAGAACTCTTGTCTGTTGAGGTAAGTGTGAATGCTGCAATTGATTAGCACTGAAAAGCCTTGCAGCATCAAGGCTTGGCTGCTTCCTGCCTGGGGGGAATCCTTTGTTGGGAGGTGATTAGCTGGCCCTGAATGTTTCTTGTCTGGAATTCCCCCATTTTTGAGTGTCATTCTTTCTTTATTGTCCTGATTTTAGAGGTTTTTTTTCTAATACTGTTAGCTAGATTTTGTTCATTTTCGTGGTTTCCTCCTTACTGTCATAATTGGCAGCTCATAACGCCAGAGACTGACAGCATGACAAGTATCTTGTAAACTCAATCTCTTTGTTTAGGCATATAGAAAGTTAAAGAAAAGGACATGTCTATCCTTCTCAGATACTACACATAGATCCAAAGAAGAATGAATGAATGAATGACAGAATGGGGAAAAGAGTCCTCCCCCTTTTTAAAAAACTACTCATCATCTGTCCAGTTTTAAAGGAGACACCTTGTGTAATAGCCAGAGGATTCTCTTGTGAGAATCAGCTCTGGTGTTATACCCTATTATGTATTAATCAAGGAAGGAGGGGTTGATTAATATGTGAGACTAGATTTTTTGTGTGTGTCAGGAGCCACTTGAGAAACTGCAAGTCGCTTCTGGTGTGAGAGAATTGGCTGTCTGCAAGGATCTTGCTCAGGGGACACTTGAATGTTTTGATGTTTTACCATCCTTGTGGGAGGCTTCTCTCATGTCCCCGCATGGGGAGCTGGAGCTGACAGAGGGAGCTCATCCACACTCTTCCTGGATTAGAACCTCAGACCTGCCAGTCTTCAGTCCTGCTGGCACAAGGGTTTAACCCACTGTGCGACCCAGGGCTCCTGTGAGACTAGGTGCAACTCTGGGTACTTTGTGTATGAGTCTTTATGGACCACATCACACTAGAGAATGAATCCACTTTAAATCTGGTTTTTGCCTCCTGTAGAATTCTGGGGTTTGTAGTTTAGTGAAGCTGTTAAAGGCTCCTCCTTAAACTACAAACCCCAGAATTCCGTGGGAGGCAGCAACCCGATTGAAAGTGGATTCATTCTCTAATGTGATGAAGTAGTATCTGTCCTGTTTCTGAGTGAGTAGTCTGAAGCCTGCTTTTTGGTCCACTTCTTAACCTACCTGGGAAGGAAAAAGGATGAGCTATATCTATCAGCCCCAGCTCCCCATGCGGGGACATGAGAGAAGCCTCCCACAAGGATGGTAAAATATCAAAACATCCGGGCGTCCCCTGGGTAACGTCCTTGCAGACGGCCAATCCTCTCACACCAGAAGTGACTTGCAGTTTCTCAAGTCGCTCCTGACACGACAAAAAAAATGATACACAAAGTACTCAGAGTTGCACCTAATCTGGGATGTTGTGATATGCCTTCTTGCAGTCTTGAACCTGTAGGCTGCCCTGAGTCCCCCCTCGGGGGTGAGAAGGGCGGGGTACAAATGCAGGAAATAATAATAATAATAATAATAATAATAATAATAATAATAATAACAACAACAACAACAACAACAATAATAACAATAATAATAATCTCACGGGAGCCCTAGGTCGTGCAGTGGGTTAAACCCTTGTGCCAGCAGGACTGAAGACCGACAGGCCGGAGGTTCGAATCTGGGGAGAGCGTGGATGAGCTCCCTATGTCAGCTCCAGCTTCCCATGCGGGGACATGAGAGAAGCTTCCCACAAGGATGGTAACACATCAAAACATCCGGGCGTCCCCTGGGCAACGTCCTTGCAGACGGCCAATTCTTTCACACCAGAAGCGACTTGCAGTTTCTCAAGTCGCTCCTGACATGACAAAAAAGAAAAGGAGGAAAGGGTCCTTTTCCTGGCAGCTACCTGGATACACCCTGAAAGCATTCAAAGTGGCCACTTACCGCTCTTCAAAGCCCTGCCAAGGGTGGCCGTGAGGGCGACATAGTTCAGGAAGAGCCCCCAATCCATCTTCCTTTCTTGGTCCTCCAGGAATGAAGGAAGAGAACAGAGTATCCCTGTTTCGGCACGCAATCTTAAATCCTCCAGGAAAGGGAGTTTCAAAAAACACAAGCAATATGCATCAAGCTGTTTCAGGAGCAAATAGCAGCAAGCAGAGTCCCGTTGGTAGCAAAGGACGTGTGGATATACTAGATCTCCTCAAGTCTCCCGCATCCTGTCATTCAGCTCCAGTTTCCTCTGCCTTTTCCCACACTTGTTCCTCTTCCAGGCGTCACTGCCTTTGCCATTTCCAAGCAGGCATTTCCAAGCAGGCTTGGAAAGGGGTGGGAAAGAAAAGCTCGCAAGGAAGTCACAACAGAAGGGAGGAAGGAGGAGAAGGAGGAAAACAAAACCCTTCACAGCTTGGCCTCGAAGAGAAACGTCTCCAGGAGGAGGAAGGTCTCACCGGGGAGAGACGACTGCCTGTCTGTGGCGAGGAAGGAGGAGAAGGAGGAGAAGCAACGCCAATGAGAAGAAGGACTTCTTGCCCAACTTCATGCTCTCTTCGCCTCTCGGTCAGCTGTCATTTGGAGGCAGGAGGAACACCACCAAGAGATGCCTTCTTGGAAAGATGGTCTGAGGAGGAGGAGGAGGAAGATGTTGATGGAGAGGGCGGTGCTTTGCCTTCTTATCCACACAGAGTCCAATGTGGATTTGGGGCACACTTCTGCAAGGGAAGGGAAGGAAGAGCGGCCACCCAATGTCCTTCTTGTCGGCTCTGTAATCCAAGAGGAAGCGGAGCAAGAAGTATCTCTCTGTCTCTCTCTTTCTGCCCAGCGTCCGGGCGGCTCTTCCTTCTCTTGCAGGCTGAGGGAGAGAAGCGCAACTCGGTGCCAATAATAAGAGAGGAGCCGCCGCCTCCGGAGCCGCCAGTCCCCGCCTTCTCCCACCCGAAAAAGGAAGAAGGATCAACAAACAACCAGAACGAGCCCACCAATCCACCAATTCGTGGAGGAGGGAGTCGGAGAAGGGGTGGAGTGGCTCATGGGGAAGGAGGGACGGGAAGAAGAGGAGGAGGAGGAGGAGCAGCAGAAGGGGCACGCCGAGGGGAGACGCTTCCCGGCGGAGAGTGCCCCAATCTCGGCAAGGCAGGTGAAGCAGAGCCGGGGAAGGGGGCAAGGAGGGCGCGGCAGCAGCAGCAGCAGCACAGGCGCACAGCCTCGCAGGAGATCTCCCCCAAAGGGCCATCTAGTCCAGTGGGTCTCAACCTTCCTAGTGCACTTCCTCATGTTGTGGTGACCCCCCAACCATAACAGTATTTTCCTTGTGACTTCGTAACTGTCATTTTGCTACTGTTAGGAATCGTCATGGAAATATCCGAAATGCAGGATGTATTTTCATTCACTGGACCAAAATACCCGATAGCCCAAATCTGAATACTGGTGGGGATGGAGAGGGATTGATTTTGTCATTTGGGAATTGTAGTTCCCTTACAATCAAAGAGCATTCTGAACTCCACCAACAATGGAATTGAACTAAACTTGGCACAAGGGACTCCCATGACTGGGCGCCACAATGGAAGGGAGATGTTGACAAGCTGGAATGTGTCCAGAGGAAAGCGATAAAAATGATCAAGGGTCTAGAGAACAAGCCCTATGAGGAGCGGCTTAAAGAGCTGGATATAAAAGTATAGAATCATAGAGTTGGAAGAGACCTCATGGGCCATCAGTCCAACCCCCTGCCAAGAAGCAGGAATATTGCATTCAAAGCACCCCTGACAGATGGCTATCAAACATTCACAGCTAGCCCCAGCAGACAAGAGTCCTTTGTCCCACCCTGGTCATTCCACAGATATATAAACCCATTTTTCCTACTTCCAACAGACCTCACTACCTCTGAGGATGCTTGCCATAGATGCAGGCGAAACGTCAGGAGAAAAATTGCCTCCAGAACATGGCCATATAGCCCGGAAAAACCTACAACAACCCATCCAGCCTCTGTTTAAAAGCTTCCAAAGAAGGAGCCTCCATCACACTCCAGGGCAGAGAGTTCCACTGCTGAACGGCTCTCAGAAGAGAAGGCTGAGAGGAGACATGATGGGCACGTATAAATATGTGAGGGGGGGAGCAAGCTTGTTTTCTGCTGCCCTGGAGACTAGGATGTGAAACAATGGCTTCAAACTACAGGAAAGGAGATTCCACCTGAACATTAGGAAGAACTTCCTAATTATGAGAGCTGTTCAGCAGTGGAACTCTCTGCCCCTGAGTGTGGTAGAGGATCCCTCTTTGGAGGCTTTTAAACAGAGGCTGGATGGCCATCTGTCGGGGTGCTTTGAATGCGATTTTCCTGCTTCTTGGCAGGGGGTTGGACTGGATGGCCCACGAGGTCTCTTCCAACTCAATCACTATATGATTTTATGATACTATGACCCACACAAAATACTGGAAGGGTTTGGTAGGCAAGAGTTCTGGAGTTGTAGTTCACCTGCATCCAGAGAGCACTGTGGACCCAATGATGGATCTGGACCAAACTTGGCACGAATACTCAATAAGCCCAAATGTGAATACTGGTGGAGCTTTGGGAAAATAGACCTTGTAGTTGCTGTGATTTATAGTTCACCTACAATCAAAGAGCATTCTGAACTCCGCCAACGATGGAATCGAACCAAACTTGGTACACAGAACTCCCATGACCTACAGAAAATACTGGAAGGCTTTGGTGGGCATTGACGTTGTGTTTTGGAGTTGTAGTTCACCTAGATCCAGAGAGCAGGAGGAAGGTTTTTGGTGGGAGGATCCACTGTTTCCAAAAAGGAAGAGAAGGACAGGTGAAGAGATCTTCAGCCTTCTCTGACAAAAGACCATCAGAAATATGTGTTTTCTGGTGGACTTTGGTGACCCCACTGAAACCTCCCTCGCGATCCCCCCCCCAGGGGTCCCTCCCCCAAGGTTGAACAACACTGATCAAGTCCAGCTCCAAGGCACAATCAAAATACTCCCGACAGATGCACATGCAGCCTCTGATTAAGACTCCCCAAGGAAGGAGACTCCGCCACATGGATGGAGGAGGAGAGAAATCAAGCAGACACGCCCCCGCCGAAAGACTGGGCACCGTCTTAGGCTAAAGACTTCGCCCTAGACTAAACTAGCCCCAGTCCCAGCCCACCTGGGCAGGTAAACCATTCTCCCCTTTTCACTCCATTCTCCAAGGGTCCCTTGTGTCACCTAAAGAGCCAGGAAGCGACGGAGGCTTCACCTTCTCCGAGCGCTGGCTAAGCTTCCTCATAGCGCGCCACTGGAAGCATTCATATTCACCGCTCCTCTACTAGCTTTGGACACTCTGTCTTCTCTCCCCGTTTCATTATTCACTGTCTTTCGTGTCGTCTCGTTTATTAAGCCCCTTCCCCGGCACCCACTCGGGAAGGCGCCCCCACGGCTCGCTCCTAGAGGACTTCAGCGTCTTTCTAAGGCGCGGAAGGCAGACCCTTGCTGTTCCTTAGCCTGCCTCCGCTGTGGAGCGCCGCCTTCCTCGTGTCTCTCAACCCTCAAAGATTCCTAACGCATTCCTAATGCTGCGACCCCTTAATACACTTCCTCCTGTTGTGGCGACTCCCCAACCAAAAAAATATTTTCGTTGCTACTTCATAACTGTCATTTTGCTACTGTTATGAATCGTCATGGAAATATCTGATATGCAGGATGTATTTTCATTCACTGGACCAAACCTGGCACTAATACTCAATATGCCCAAATGTGTTTACTGGTGGGGTTTGGGGAAAGTAGACCTTGACATTTGGGAGTTGAAGTTGGTGGGATTTATAGTTCACTTACAATCAAAGTGCATTCTGAACCACACCAACGATGGAATCGAACCAAACTTGGCACATGGAACTCCCATGACCAACAGAAAATACTTCGGTAGGCATTGAATTTTGGAGTTGTAGTTCACCTATATCGAGAGTACTGTGGACTCAAACAATGATGGATCTAGACCAAACTTGGCAGAGATACTCAGTCTGCTCAAACGTGAACACTGGTGGCGTTTGGGGGAAACAGACCTTGACATTTGGGAGTTGTAATTGCTGGGATTTATAGTTCACCTACAATCAAAGAGCATTCTGAACTCTACCAACGATGAAATCGAACCAAACCTGGCACTTGGAACACCCATGACTAACAGAAAATACTGGGTTTGGTAGGTATTGAGTTTTGGAGTTGTAGTTCACCTACATCGAGAGTACTGTGGACTCAAAGAATGATGGATCTGGACCAAACTTGGTAAGAATACTCAATCTGCTCAAATGTGAACACTGGCGAAGTTTTGGGAAAATAGACCTTGATATTTGGGAATTGCAGTTGCTGGGATTTACAGTTCACCTACAATCAATGAGCATTCTGAACCCCACCAACGATGAAATCGAACCAAACTTGGCATTTGGAACACTCACGACCAACAGGAAATACTGGAAGGGTTTGCTAGGCATTGAGTTTTGGAGTAAACACTGATGGAGCTTGGGAAAATAGACCTTGTAGTTGCTGGGATTTATAGTTCACCTACAATCAAAGAACATTCTGAACCCCACCAACGATGGAATGAAACCAAACGTGGCACACAGAGCTCCCATAGTTTGGGGGACATTGACCTTGAGTTTTGGAGTTGTTCACCTACATCCAGAGAGGAGGAGGAGGGCTTTTGGTGGGAGGATCCACCAAAAGGACAGGTGAAGRGATCTTCAGCCTTCTCTGACAAAAGGGTTCTTAAGACCATCACAAATATGTTTTTCCGATAGTCTTTGGTGATCCCTCTGAAGCCCCCTCGCGAACCCCCCCCCCCAGGGGCCCCGACCCCCAGGTTGAGAAACATTGATCTAGTCCAATCCCGAGGCACGATCAAAACACTCCCAACAGATGCCCATGCAGCCTCTGATTAAGACCCTCCTGATAAAGAAGACTCCGCCACGTGGATGGAGGCGGAGGAGAAAAAGCAAGCAGACGAGCCCTTGCGGAAAGACTGGGCACAGTCCTAGCCGAAAGATTTCGCTCTAGACTAGCTAGCCACAGTCCCAGCCCACCTGGGCAGGTAACCACTCGCCCCTCTTCATTCTCCAAGGGGAGCCCGCCATAGTTACAGAGATGGGCCCTTGTGTCACCCAAAGGACCAGGAAGCGCTGGAGCCTTCACCATCACCAAGCACTGGTTTGGCTTCCTAAAGCATTCATATTAACCGCTCCTCGGCTCGCTTTGGACACACACTCTTCTCTCCCGGCTTCCTTATTCACTCTCTTTCCTGTCGTCCCATTTATGGAGCCTCCTCC